TTAATGAGACTTTATGTTTTTCCTTTTTATTTTGATGAGTAGGTGTGTTAACTTTCTCTGTGGTTACCATGAAATTTACCTTTATCTTTCTAAGTTTGAAGCAGTCTATTATTACTTGGTATCGCCTTGCCTTCCTCTCCATTAGAAGGTTCTATACCTACACTGTTTATTCCCTGTTTTATTGTTCGGATGTTGTTGTCATTTACAGTTAACTGTTCTGATTCCCTGTTGTATTTCTTTTGGTTTTGGATAGTCCTTAAGAGTTCATTTCCTAGATTGGTGTCTGGCTGGTACGATCCTGTGTTCTAGATTCAGCCTGTGAGCTGATGTTATTTGTTCTCAGATCGACAGGCTCCCTTTAATAATTCTTGTAAGTTTGGTTTGGTTTTTACATATTCCCTTTTATTTGGAAATGTTGTAATTTCAACATCATATTTGAACAAGAGTTTTGCAGGAAAAATCATTCTTGGCTGGCAGTTTTTTTCTTTCTATATTTTATAGTCATCCAATTGCCTTCTTGCCTTCATGGTTTCTGCCGAATAATCTGAGCTTAGTCTTGTTGTTTCTCCTCTGTATGTGACTTGTTTCTCTCAAGCTGCTCTTAGGATTCTTTGTCTTTGGTTTTGGTGAGTGTGATCTATGATATGCCTTGGTGATTTTCTTTTGGGGTCTGTCCTGTATGGGATTTGTTGAGCTTCTTGAATGGCCAGCTTTTCATCTTTCATGTATTGGGGAAGTTTTCTGTCAGCAGTTCTTTGATGATCCTTTGTGTTTTCTGTTTTCTCCCCGTGTTCTGCAACTCCGATCACTCACACATTTTTGCTTTTGATTGTATCCCACATAATTCTCAGGGTCTCTTCGTTTTTCTTCATTCTTTTTTCTGATTTTTCCTCAGAGTTGTAGCCAAGTGTTTGTTTTTAGTTTTGCTTATCCTGTCTTCCAGTGTTTCAGACCTGCCTCTCAGCCCTTCTGTGACACTGTCCATTTCTGAAATCCTGTTTATATTTTGGATTTCTGATTGTAGTTTTTGTATGATTTCTAGTTGTGAATTTATTTTGGCATTTTGTTCCTGCATTATTTTACTGAATCCTTCCATTTTATGGTCTGTATTTCCATGAATTTGTCTGCCCTTTCAATGAATTTGTCTGTTTTTTTTTCCTTATTTTTGTCTACTTTTTGCTTTGACTCTTGGATAGCTTTGAATATTAGAGATTTGAATTCCCTATCAGGTAGTTCTAGTGCCTTTTTTTCTACTGGAAAGTCATCTGGTGTTTTATTTTGGATGCCTACTGGAACCATCCTGTCGTGTTAATGTTTTGATATTGTCTGCTGTCTTCGGGGCATTCGGTAGTAATTTTCCTCGTTTATTGACTGTAGATTTGTTTGTTTCGTCCTGCTTTTTTGTTTTATTTGGCTATGTCTGAGCAGGCGGGTTGTGTGTTTTTTGTTGTTTGCTCGTCTTTGGGCACGATACTTTTTGCCTTCTCCAATTGGCAGGGTCAGTGGCTCAAATATGATCTAGCAGGGCAGATCCAGCTGAAGAGGAGTTGCTAGGATGGGTTGTTTGTGGCACTTACTGTGGCCACCAGGGCGGGCCAGTAATCAGTGCAGGGCAGGTTCCAGTAGGCCGTGCCTGGGCTATTTGGTGGTGTGATGTTCAGCACACGGTGTAGGTAGGCAGGATGGAGGGCGGGAGATTGTGATGTGTGGAGCCAAGATGGGTATGGGAGAGAGGAGAGAGAGGAGACAGGCACAGGAGCCAAAAAGATACAAAGAAACAGAAATGAGTGTTAGGGGAGCTTGCCTTTGGAGTGGAGAGATGAGAGAGTATGGAATTGAGTAAAACAAAAAAAAAGGAAAAAAAGAAAAGAATGAATAAATACAGATTAGAAAGAAAAAAGCACAGCTCCCAGGGATCCCACTGGTGCGGCTGTGAGATCTGGGGAAGTTGCTTCCAGGCCGTGGAGTACAGCCTGGCTAGAAGGGGTCGAGGTGTCACTCAGCACCAGGTAGGTATTCAGGGGACAGGAAGAGAAGGAAAGTTTAGAGAAACGAGTAACTGAGTAATGAAGAAAGAAAAGCGAAAAAGAGAGAAAAGAAAACAAATGAAAAAAATAAGAACAAGAACCCCCCCCCCCCAAAAAAAAAACCAGAAAAAAAAACCTGAGAAAAACAAGAAAAAAGAATTGTCCTCAGGGATCCCTTTGCGTGTCTGCACAAACTGAGGGGGTAGGTCCCAAGCCACGCAGTACTGCCTGGCTAGAACGGACTCTGAATTCTTGAAAAGAAAAAGAAAACAAACAAATTCAAGACAAACAAACAAAAAAGCCCCGGGATCCCACCAGCATGGCAGCACAGGCCAGGAAACAGTTTCACAGTTGAGTGGCGTTTCACAGCCTTTTAGGAAGAAGCGAAGATGGCACATGGAGCCAAGTATTTGAGAGAAAGGAGGGGGAGGTGATGAGAGGTAAGAAAGAAATCTAAAGAAGCAGTTAAAAGCAACACCAGCAGCCAACAAATGGCACTTAGGGAGCCAGCCAGTGCAGGCAGGTGAAATCCGGGTGTCACCGGGGTGAAGCTGGTACTTTCTGGCCAAGAGACTGTGGTTGCAGGAAGCAGAGGAGGCCGAGTGGGGGTGAAGAAGGGTGGGGTGTGGGAAAGCGTATATCCGTGGTTACTTACTGGTTGTTCTTTCTCCTGCTGGCAGCTCTGTGAAGGTGCTTTCTGGTACGCCCTGTTTACTGATCTCTGATAGGAGTCCGAGATGGTGGATCCATGCTGCATTAGCTGATAGGGGACCTCTGCGTGTATCTCTCCTCGCTCTTTGTTCTCTGTCAGTTTCTCATTCAGTTCGGTGCTTGGCTGAGTTCTTTATCTCTTTGTTTGATGCTTAGGGTTTGAGGATTGCCATTTTCTCTGTTTGGCTTAGTTTTTCAGATCTTTGCTGTGGAGGGACGGCGTGGTGCTTCTGTGTATAGTGCCTTGTTGCCCAGAAGTCCTGTGAAACATTTTTAAAAGAGTAATGACCTTAGGGAAGAGCTAGATTTTTTTCTCAAGTTTTCTGTTCACATTTGAGTGTATCACGTTCAAGATTGACTTTGTGGGTAGCGTGGATTTCAATGAAGAAAATATATTTGAGAATCAAATCTAGAAGGCCATTTTAGGGCTTAGTGGCCTTACCAAAGAAATAAAGTCTAGAGGCTGTTTTTTTGGATAATACATAGGAGGTGGAGCAACCTGTTTTTCCTTTTGGTTATCATTTGGAATTGCCAGTGAATTATTTCTTCAAGTTACGAAGAGGGAAGTGAGCAGTCACAGAGCTTTCATTTGGCAAATTGTGGTAGAGAAAATTTCTTTCTAGATTTGTGTTTTCTTATTTTAGTTTGTAATGGTGTTCTGCTCTTATTAAAAAATAGCACACTTTTCAATTAATATTGATTTAAAGGTATGTAACTTGCATTGATTTGAATTGGGGATCTTATCCTTTTTTTCCCCTTTCTCTTTCAGGACTTGAACTAGTGAAAGAAGTGGATGGCACTTATGAAGATATATGTCACTCTTTCGTTTTTAATGGGAACATCTGCTTAGGAGCTGTATATGAGTTTTCATCTATGATCTTTAATTTCAATACCCACTGACTTTGAGTTGCAGGAAGGTCTCTGAAGATATATATCAAATGACGTCAATGGCCAGCTTGTTTTCTTTTACTAGTCCAGCAGTAAAACGATTGTTGGGCTGGAAACAAGGTGACGAGGAGGAGAAATGGGCCGAAAAAGCAGTCGATGCTTTGGTGAAAAAGCTAAAAAAGAAAAAGGGTGCCATGGAGGAACTGGAGAAAGCCTTGAGCAGTCCAGGACAACCGAGCAAATGTGTCACTATTCCTAGGTCTTTAGATGGACGCCTGCAGGTTTCTCACAGAAAAGGCCTGCCCCACGTTATATATTGTCGTGTTTGGCGCTGGCCTGATTTGCAGAGTCATCATGAGCTAAAACCATTGGATATTTGTGAATTTCCTTTTGGATCTAAGCAAAAAGAAGTTTGTATCAATCCGTACCACTATAAGAGAGTGGAGAGTCCAGGTAGGTTTTGGTCCCCTGAGAAGGAGAAAAAAATAAATCATCTCTCTTTCTGATTTGCATTTAACTGGATTGAGTAATTAAAAGGTTATATTAGCCTTGTGTTTTCTTTTTAAAGATTTTAATCTTAGAAGGAATACTAGGTTTTGAATTTAGCTTTTTACATGGAGGTGATATATAACTCCCACATGGCTTATTCTAATTCATTGTTCACTCTAAGCACCCATACATGCACTTTGCCTTTTCTGTGGATGACCTATATGTGTTTTAAGGAAGGCTTAAGGTCTAGGTATATACTCAGTCCTGTTCCATTTTGCCAACAACTTTGTTTCTACAATTATCACCACTCTCTCTAGCATCATCATATTTTCCCTATTTCTGAAACTATACAAACATGCCATAATACCTCCCATCTTAAAATAAAAGTAAAAAAAAAATTTTTTTCTCTAACTTCATGAATAACCCTCCCCGCTCCCAAGTTTACTGCACTGTTTCATCTGATCCCTACATAGGATTCTCCATATATATTATCTTCACATCTTTATTTCCCATTCTTTCTTGACACCTGTCTAGTTAGTCTCTCTTCCTTACCATTTGACTTGTTAAGATGACTTGTGACTGCGTTATAGATCTAGGGATCATTTCTCAGTTCTCATGTTAACTTTCCCTCTCAACAGCATTTACTGTAGTTGATCCCTCTCCTGCCCACCTGAAACTTTTTCTTTATTTAGCACTAAGACACCACAGTCTCTTGGTTCTTCTGCATTGACTGCTCTTGCTCTATTTGCTGGCTCTTTCTCCTGTTTTCATAAGGCTCAGTCGTTGGCCCTTTTCTCCATCTATATTTTTTCTATATGAGCTCTCATGCTGTCCCAGTGTCTGTAAGCTGATGCTTACATTTTGGACTCTAGAGTCAACTTTTCACTTGAGTTGTAGACTTGTGTATCCAGTTGTTTATTTGAATTTCTAATAAGCATATAAAATTTAATATGTCTATACAATAACTCTTGGTTTTTTCCCACCAAATCAAGTTTTTCTCTAGTTTTCTATATTGAAGTAAATGATGCTAGCATTCATGTAATTGCTAATGTTCTAGGCCTAGATATCATCTTTAATTCTTCTCTCTCAAGCCATATATTTGGGCTATGAACAAATGGCTGTTAGCTCAACTTCAAAATACATCTTTATGCTATCATCTCTTACCATGTCTAACACCACTACCCTAGTACAGGCCATCATCATCTTTCACCTTAAGTAGTCTGCTGATTAACCTCCCTGCCTCTCTTCTTCCCCCACCCCCATTTGTTTTCTACACAGCCACCAGAGTGATCTTTAAAAAATATATATCAAATCATGTCAGTCCTTACTCAGAACACTTCACAGGTTTCCTATGATACTTAGAACAGATTTCTACAAGGCCCCTCCATGATATGTCCTCTGGCTTCCTCTATTCCTTGAACTTCCATACTCCTGTGTCCAGGCTTTTTTTCTTGCTGTTTCTACTACCTAGAGTACTTTTTCCCCAGGATCTTTTCAAATACCCTCATCATAACTTAACTCTTATACTATATATTTATTTTATTATCTGACATGAGCAGGAACTTCCTCTGTTTTGTTCACCAGTGCTTACCCAGTGCCTAGAATAGTATTCTTATCTGGGATTTCTGTGTGTGTGTGTGTGTGTGTGTGTGTGTGTGTGTGTGTGTATGTATCCATATACATATATTTACTTATGTAATGAATGAATTCTATAAGCTGAGTTACTAGCTGGGTGCATTAGTTATGTATTACTGCATAACAAATTACCACAAACTTAGCAGTTTAATACAACACACATTTATTATCTCATAGTTTCTGTGGGTTAGGAGTCCAGGCAGGCTTAGCTGGGCCGTTTGCAAGGCTGTAGTCAAGGTGCTGGTCAGGGCTGGACTCTCATCTGAGGCTTGATTGGGGAAGGATCTTGTTTCAAGCTCATGTCATTGTTGGCGGAATTCAGTTCCTTGCAGGCTGTTGGATTCCGTTGCTGGTTGTTGGTCAGAGGCTGCCTTCAGTTGTTTGCCACATAGCCCTCTTCATAGATAGCTTACATTCATGGTAGCTTGCTTCTTCAAAGCCAGTAAGAGAGTCTCCTCATAATAAGGATGTTACAGTCTTATGAAATGTAATCATGTACATCTCGTCACCTTTACTGTATTGTATTGGTTAGAAGCAAGTCACGGGTCTCAACTCTCAAGGGGGAGGGATCATGCAAGGGCATGAACACCAGGAGGTGGAGTCATAGAGACCATCTTAGAGTCTGTTTGGAACATTGGGGTTCATTTGGAGATAATATAAGGCCGAAAACCAACCAAACCCATTGCCGTCAAATTGATTCGGACTCATAGCAACTGTATTGGACAGAGTAGAACTGCTGCATAGGGTTTCCAAGGAGCTGTTTGTAGATTCGAAGTGCTAACCTTTTGGTTAGCAGCCATAGCTCTTACCCACCACGCCACCAGCGGACTGTGAAAATAACATTGAATGTGAAGACTAGCAAAAAGAATAGCGATGATGGTTGGGCTGTCAGGGAAAGTTCAGTTTAAGAGCTTTAAAATGGCCGATTGGTATCTGACGTGACTCTGAATTTCTTATTGAGTCCAAGGAGAGCTTTATCCTAAAGGAACTGGTGAGGAAAGGAAGATGTGAGGATTTAATAGAGAAGTGTAATTTGAAAAACTCCCAAGCTTGATATATACTAGAAAGAATGTCTTAAGAATATAGTGTTTACCCCAGAGCCAGGGTGTAGCTGGTAATCAGTAGGTAGAAATGTCTTATTTTTTGTAATCCTTTTCCTCAGCTATGATTCATTCTATAGAAAAGACTGGGGCATAGCTCTGATAATTTTTAAATGACTCTGGAAATTGGGCCCAAAATTTCCTGAAGGAAATGCATGTTTTAATGATTTTCTGTCCTTTATTTCTTACATCTACTTGGTTATCAAGACTTTGTTAGTTTTATTTTGAGACTAATGACATGACTGTACATTGTACTTCCACTACCACCATCATAATTTATTCCTTAGATGGATTATCATTGCTATAAGATACAGTGTTGCTACAAGCTCATAACTGTATTTTTTTGGTATTTATGTTGCTTACTATTCTTTGAACTTCCAGGACCTGTAGGTTGGTGTTTGTTACTAATTTTGGAAAATTCTCAGCAATTGTTACTTCAGATATTTCTTCGTTCTGTCTTTCTGGTATTCCCTTTATGCATGTTACACCTTTTGTAATTGTCCCATCCAAAAAAAACACAAAAACAAACCCGTTGCCATCAAGTTGATTCCGACTCATAGCCACCTTATAGGACAGTGTAGATCTGCCCTGTAGAGTTTCCAAGGCTATAATCTTTACTGAAGCAGACTGCCACATCTTTTTCCTGCCTAGTGGCTGGGTGGGTTTGAACTACTGACCTTTTGGTTAGCAGCCGAGCATTTAAGCACAGCACCACCAAACCAAAAAAAAAAAAAAACCAAACTTGTTGCTGTGGAGTCTGTTCTGACTCATAGCGACCCTATAGAACAGAGTAGAACTGCCCCATAGGGTTTCCAAGGAGCAGCTGGTGGACTCAAACTGCCGACCTTTTGGTTACCAGCCAAGTTTTTAACCACTGCGCCAGCAGGGCTTCTTAACTGTGCCATAGTTTTGAATATTCTGTGATTCTATTTGTCCATCTGCCTCTCTAGTTTTCAGGGCAGCAGTTTGCCCTGTGACTCAGTTCTCTGATGGATCTAAGAATAATTGTTGATTTTCAGTTTGTTCACTTTTTTTCTTGTCGTGAGAATGGGAGTGACAATTTCCAAACTCTACATACTAGACTGAAAACCGGAAGTCTCAGACCAGAAACCAGAAACTGGATTCTTTGCATGTAGTTTATCTAGTGTCTAAAACTGCCAGATTAATTTTCTGAAAGCTTGCTTTTATTATATTAATGTTTACAAACTTAGTTGTTTCCTATTCATCCAACAGACATTAAGTACCCTGTATGTAGTGGGCCAAGCTTTGGAGACATAGAGTCTCCTTGAAGAACACCTGGTTGACGGTGGAGAGGCAGGCAAGCAAAGGGATGACTCTGAATGAGGTGTGAGTGCTTCGCTAGACGCATGCGTAGTATGCTTGATAGCAGAGAGAACAGCTAGTCCATAGTCCTTGGACTGATCAGGATCTCTGTGATCCAGCTCCATCCTCTAATTCATTTAGTTCATGCATTCTCAGTGGGGAGGATATTGTCCCTAAAGGGGCGAAAATTGGTTCTTAAAGGGTAAAAACCTTATTCTTCTATGTATAAAGCACAGATATATATGTGGTATACAAACGCATACAGTATACTGTGGTATTAAAATTTCATCGGTAGGGAAATAAGAAGTGTCTAAATAGGCTTCTTAGAGAAGGTGTTAATGAAAAAAAGACTGAGAAACACTGATATAGTTCAATGCCAGTATAAATCATCTAGTCAGGCGTGAGTCCGTGTTGCCACATGATAGTTTCTCGTTGCTTGAATTTATTTACATTCTTCCTTGTATCTGGAATTTATTCATATCCGTTACTGAATTTCTAGACATCTTCATGACCTGATAAGTTCTATCAAATTACTACTTCTCTGACTTTGCTGGCCTTTATTGGTCCTTCTTTCTTCCTTATCATTCTAGTACTTGCGCTCTTGTCCCCCTCTCCACCCCGTCCCCCGTCCCCGCACTTGTTTTCTTTATTTCTTTACATTTGGGTAAGTAGTTATATTCTCTCATTTTGTTTCCAGCTATTCACACTGATAGCTCTTGCTCGCTCCCTCAAATTCTTTAAATGCAGGGGGCTCTGATACATAATTGTAATTGAAAGAACAATGAGTGAATGAATGAATGAGACCATGTAGGACATTTTCAGTGTTTCAGGGTGTTTAAAGCACTTCCATGTTCATTATCTCTTTTGATCCTTACTCAGCCCTATGAGCTAGGCAGGCAGCAATTG